ATCTTGGCTTATTTCTCCATTATTTGATATAAGATTGAGTTTGACGGCGTGCTACTTGTGCAATGCCATCATCTCTCTCTCTCTCATGGACACACACACAATATGGACCTTTGATGGTTTTTCTTATGCAAATGGCCCTTAATGGGCAATTCTTTGTAGCACCTAAAAAACTATCCAAAAATGGGCCAATCCATTGATAGTTTTTTAGTTACTAAAAAGAATTGGCCATTGAGAGATTGGGTTTTTAGGTGGTAAAAAACTACCAAGAGGGAGTGAAATAAGTTTATCAATTTTTTATTTTTTAACAAATTAGGAGATATAATAAAATGATGTATTTAGATCTTTGAGAGATGGTTAATGGGGGGGGGGGTGAATGGAATTTACAATCAAGAAAATAAAATATTTAGATGGAATAAAAATTAAAGGAGTTAGAGAGTGCATAAACACAAGTTTTATAAAGATTCAATCACTCGCATTCATCTGCGTCCTTTCCCTAAAACATCACTTTTGATTAAACTTCTTACACATTAATTTATAGTGCTTGCCCACTTTCAAAAGAGATTCCTCCTCTTCAACAAAATTTCTCTCGTTTTTGTAACATTCTCTCACTAATTTAACAAGAGCTTCTCACCCTTTTTTTTAAGAGCTTTTCATACTTGTCTATAAGAGCTTCACACACTTTTACAAAAGGGCTTCTCTTTATTACAGAAAGTTTTTTCTCCTTCATAAGGAGCTCTTTTACAAAGGCAAAACTTCTCCTTAAGGATTTCCTAATCATTTTCTTAAAATATAGAAAAAAATACAAAAAAATATGTTTATAATAGATTCTCTCTTATAAAATAGATAGGCCAAATGAGTACAAGCTTTTTTCTCTCTTAAAGAATAAATGAATCAGTTGAAGTGCAAACTTCTCCTCCTTGAAGATTAGATGTACAAGAATGGAGAGTTAAGAAGATAAAAACAAGGCTTAAAAATTATATATGTAAGGTTTTTGATCGAGATTTAATTTTTTCCTCTCAAAGTTGTAATAAGATATGGCACGTGATTATCATTTATAGTGGAAAAAGTATTTGTTATGCACATGAAAAAATATGATTTTTTCTTTAAATTCTAAAAAAATGTGTGTTTTCAAAAACTATCTTGCATAGGTGTGCTGAAATTTTTGTTTACACTAGAATCACATTTGATTTTCATTGTTTTTAACGAAACATTATGTATAATGAATTGATCATCACATCATATTCTTCGCTGCATAGACAAAAGATATTCTATATAATAAAAAAATTATCACATCAGATTTTTTTACTTCCAAGGATAGTTTTAATATTCAAAATATTTTATCCACAAAATTTTTTTGAAGAATATTTTATATAAAAATTTATTTTTAAAGCTTGAGTTAAAGTCACATAAATGTGTTTAAACCTTACTTTCTTGAGCCTTAAGTTTTTACTTAACTTTACTACTTTGAGCAATATCTTTAATATTCTTTTGGTCTTCTAGATTTCCTTCTTTTTCAAAAATATCTTGAAAATCTTCATGTTCCTTACTCATCTCTAAAGAACCTGCTAAATCAAATACTTCAAAAACTCATTAATAATCTTTAAGAAAACTAAGGATTTTCATTTATCAAAATTAGCTTTTCTCAATAATCTCCTCTATTTTAATGGATAATGAAATTTTGTTTTATTTTTTGAAATTTCTGAGAGATATGAAGCAAAAAAAAAAAAATGATGATGAGAATGACTCTCTCTTATAATCTTTTTCCTAATTATCTTATCAAAGAGATTTTATTTTTGAAATAGTTATTGTGAAGTATATTTTAACAAAAAACAAGCTTAAATGGTAAAACATTTCTTCTGGTAAGAAATATTCAACTCAATTCCAATGAAGCTTTTCAATCTAATTATTCATCCTCACTCCACATGTAATTTTTTGTACTCACCATCCAAAATGTTCCCCTTTATTTACTCTCCCATCACCCTAACTCCAATGAACTTCCCATGTTTACTAGCTTCTTTTACTTCAAAATTATTATAAAGTAATCATTTTATATAATCTAACAATATTTAAGATTAATAATTAGAAAAACTATGTGTATATATAAACTAATACTTAAATAATGTATTATTCATCAATATAATTTGATCAAATTTAATTATTTATAATGTTAATATGATAAATTAAATTGATTTTTAGAATTTATAAATAAGAACCGGGTGAGTAAGGGTAATAGGTGAGCATATGCATTACTTGATCTATACATGCAACAGGTATTTCTTATTTTACCCAGTCATCTCGTATTTTTTATTGTTTATCCATTTAGCTACCCAGAAGGATGTGTATAAGAGTATATTGCGAGTCCATCATATTAATCATCCATACCTCAAACCAACTTGTATATATATATATATATATATATATATATATTTAAAATGATAAGAATATATTACTTATATATTTTTATGCTTATTTTAAATACCATATATTTATAGTGAATTTTTATCATTTATTTATAATATTTAAACATTCTTTTAGTTTGAAATATATTAGATTATAAATGTATATTAAGTATAAAAAAGCATACAATGATAATTAAAATAATTTGTTAAACCTAGATTAACCTCTCACGATCTATTCTAATTGTTTTAAGTTTTTTCAAAAGATAAGCAATTTAGTAATTATAAACTAAAATTTCAATGAACTGAGTTTAAATTTAAAATAAAAATTTATTTAAATTAGATTTGAGGACATATATTAAAGTTATATAATGTTTATCTCTAATTAGTTGTATATATACAATGCATTTTTTAATTTTAATTTAAAAAATATATAATATTTTAATTTTTATTAAAAA